AACCAGGTCAATATGGACACTGCCTTTGTGTGGATCCATAGTCAGTCCAGGAAAACACCAGTTTGCTATAGAACACTTAGGAGACAAGCTTTTCCCAGAAGTCATGTCATCTATTTTTCAAACATACTATTACCACAGAGTATCACAATCTTACCACTGTGGTAAGACTGAACTAGGTAATTCCTGATTGTGGACTGTTCTGCCCATTAGAGAATGTTTAGGCCTCTCTACCCACTGAACATAAGTACCAGAAATGACCCTAGATAGTGCCTAAGGCAAGGCAGTGGTGGTTTCAATTGGGAGGTAGGGGATGGGGGCAGAAATCACTTCCAATTCACCCTACAGGTAATGGCTATTTCACAGTTTTACCCTTCAGAGCAAATACTTGGCAGGATGAAGGGATGGAAGAGAGGCAGAAGTTAGATATAGTATCATGTCCATTTCTGAACATCATGTTCCAGAGCTCAGACTTATGAACTCCAAGATCATAGCTTGTGGCTATATACTTGCATTCATAGAATTTGAGAATTGGAAACGGTTTTAAGAGATTAGCTAGCTTCAAACAATTATGTAATCCACCAAATATTTGAACTCCTCCAAACTCAGTGTATGACAGATGTTCATTTGTGAGCAGGATGCTGCAGTTGATTAGAGAGAGGTGATCAGACCTCTCCCATTGTGAAGTATCTGGAGCAGTTTCACGTCATGGGCTGTAGGAACAATGTGGGGTTAGCAGAACATCACTCAAAAAAAAAAAATCATAATGACTTAAACAAAAAACCTCGGTGTGTGTTGCAGTCTCTTAGCTGGTAGCCTGACCCCGGGGCAAGTGAGGGCTGTGTGATATTAGTGCCACCACGGTATTTTTTAAAAATTATTTTTAGGAGAAAAATTCCTAACAAATATTCTGTTGCTTGGCCAGGATCCCTTGTTTCATTTACACAGCATTTCTCCCTCCCAGGAAGACATCCTGTATTCATTTGCCCAAGATGGTCCACTTCAGTAAATGTAAACTGAACGAAAACCATCCAGGAAACAAATCACCCAGCAGTTCTCTTATCCATTTTTCATAAACATCAGAGCCCGCTCTCTCTCCTCCCCAACAAAAGCCAGGATGGAAGATGCAGAAAGCAAATGCTTCTTTTGTCCGTCATGAGGGACAATAACTCTGAGAGGCGTTTCCAAGAGTTTCGATCTCCAGATTTACTGTGCTATGACTGCGGTTAGAAAAATGCTCCCATTCTCCTTCCCAGCTCTCCAGGAATGGGGTTCAGGGAAGGGGAGGTGGCTCATGAAATAGTATGGCTAAGTGTTACACTTCCTTTAGCACCACCCATTCTGCTCTCTCATACTTAGTAGCGTCTCTAGACTAGAGCATCCTTTCTACAATCTCAGCATGGCAAAAACTTTGTCCTGGCAGGGAGCCTGCAAACAGCCAGCTGGAGAAAGGACAAATGTCACCACAGAAAGCCCTTTTGGCCACACATACAAAGCTCCAATGCCTTAGCCAGCTTATCAGCAGTAAAGTGATAGACATCCTCCTATCCTTTGTTTCCTGTGTCAATTGGTTTTTTGAACCCAGGAAGGAAAGAAAGGGTGTTATAAGCCCCTGCAGACCATCAAAAGCCCCACTGGGGTTAGAATGGTTTGCATCCTCATGGGAGAACACTGCTCATTCACACCTCCCTCTACAATGAAATGAGTAAAGCCCTGTTAACCCCAAATCTCCATGTAAGAATTCTTACATAGCTTGGTCTTACAAATGAGAAGGTTAAGCTGAATACATGAATAACTGCTAATTGATTATCTAATAACTACCAAGGAAAGCAACTTTTTACTTTCCAGAGGAAGTTTAGTTTTGGGTTTTAATACTAACTTGGTTAGCTTGAATGAGTCACTTTGCTTTTAAATTACTCTAATCCCCACCTTGGTGAGAACAAGATAGACAATTTTTAGGTTTGGTTTGGTGTTGTCAATGAGAAAAAAGAACCGGATATATGATAACCTAGGTTAGCCCCTAGGTACTAATGCATTTATTAATGCTACATATTACAAAGAGAATGAGAGACACCATTACCTATAGAGATCCTTAAAGATTTTAATTTAATGGAATGATAGGACCAGAATGCAATTAGAATATAATTGTGTATATGTAAATATGCTTAGGGGAGCTTTGATGGAGTTTATGGTTGTTACATTCACCCAGAAATTTGGCCTACATTATTAATTTGCACTATTATGAAAAAGGGTTTGTTAATCAAAGATAAACTATCCCGATGATTTTGAATTAGTGAATTCAAATTATGGTGGGATAATGAGACTGGGCTGTGCACATATATAATTCTCTACTAAGCACAGAGCTCTCTGGCTGGCCACATAGGAGGTCTCCTTAGTGAAAGATTTATTTTTAATTTTCAACCGCCTCTCAGCATTACCCTTCATGAAAATTAAAATAAGGAGATAGAGTTTTGTCCTATTTGGGAAACCTCCCAGCAGGATTGCTCACCATGGCAGAGGAAGGGGGAAAATTCCTCATTGTTTGAGAGAAATTACCTGCCCATTTTTCTGCTTGATCCAAAAGAATTACAAGTATCTTTTAACTAAGATTTTCAACCCCTCCCCCCAACTCTAGTGAGGTTTAGGAAGGATTCTTTGCCTTCATTTTGCTCTTTGGACCTTTTGGCCTGTGAAGCGTTGACATAAACTCTTGGCTTGGATCCTTACATATGCAAAGAATCACGGAAGTCTCTGGAAATTCTATGGAAGCCAAAGCCTTCTCAGCACATCTCCCAGGGGCTTAGCTCTGCCAAAGAGAATGACTTCAGACTTTACCTTGGATAGCTGTGGCCTCAAAAGATCTGCTCCTATTTTTAACTCAGGTAGGAGCACAATGTTTTGTTATGTCTGGGGATAATGGAGAAGGTATAATAAGGGAGCTGAATGTAAGAATATCGACAGGTTTGCATAGACCAGATGCTCCTGGGACTCAGAGTTTTGAACTGCATGGACTCCATCTCCCTCAGAGACAAAAGGGGTCCCAAGGCTCATTGTCAAAATCTGTGAGACATGTCCATTGCACTGTTGCATAAGTGAACTAATAAACATTTGGCAGGCAGAGTGCATAGGATGTTAACAAAACTCCTAAATTATTCTAGTCTTTGGAGAAAAATGAAGCTAATGATGACAGTGTACTCAACCTAAAAAATGCAAGATTAAAAAAACAAAAGCCTAAGGCTCAGAGTGGTGACTCACACCTGTAAGTCCAGAGATAGAGATCAAAAGGATCTCCAGCTGATACCAGCTTAGGCCTCAACTGAACTGAAGAGAGACTCAGTCTCCAGTACTGTGCTGGGCCTAGTGGTACAAGCCTGTCACCACAGCTGTGTGGGAGGTCTAAATAGGAAGACTGAGGTCCAGGCCAGCTACAGCAAAAATGGAAGACATCACGTGAAAAATAACAAAAGCAAAAAGGGCTAGCTAGGACTGTAGTTCTAGTAATAGAGTGCATGCCTCGCAAGTGGTAAGCCCTGTAAAAATCTGAGCACCACCAAAAATAGAAAAAGAAAAAAGAAAAAAAGACCAAAGACAAAAAAAGCATAACCCAATGGTCTATTCACACTGCATATGTAAAAAAGCAAGTCCATGCTTGGGTGGCTAAGATGTACTCTGGTAGGATTTTAGCTCCCATTGAGAATCCTTCCCGAATTCTTATTTTTTCATATATTCTAGGGAATGTAAAGGGAAATAGAAAACAAAATAATGGCTTTAGGTTGGGACTCTGAAATTCTTTTACAATAGGATTAATTAGTAGAGACCCTTTACATTAAATATGGTGTGACTTCCATAAGCATTCACTTAGAGAATAGAACAGTAGGCAAGAGGACTATGGGCAATCTATAATCCTTGTCACTGAGGTTTTCCTAGGAGTCTCACAAGAGGGTAGGCCAGAGTCCTTTTGAAACTCTTCATCTCTCCATCATGAGGAATGACAGGTAGCCAGTGCCAGAACACATGAAAATGTGGTCACTATTCCCAGGAAGGAAATATAAACAAGTGAGTCAGGAGCCAGAGCTTAGAAATCTGGAGTTTTGAAAATACTTTTTAGTCAAGATTTTGAGACACTTGTCCACTGGACTTCACAGATTTTTTTTTTCCTTTGTTGGTTGTGAGACTTGAACTCTGGGCCTGGGTGATGTCCCTGAGCCTTTTTACTCAAGGCTAGCCCTCTACCACTTTGAGACACAGTGCCACTTCTGGTTTTCTGGTGGTTAATTGAAAATAAAAGTCTCATGGACTTCCCTGCCCACGCTGGCTTCGAACTGTGATCCTCAGATCTCAGCCTCCCGCTACCATTACAGGCATGAGCCAACAATGCCTGGCTCACACAATGTTTATTCTAGTCATCTATACTACAAACAGGGAACAGGGTGGACTAGCACCTTCTATCCCCCATGCCATCTGGACCTGACCTGACCAGGCAAGTGACTAAAACCAGTGTGTAATAAGAGAATTTTCTTAACCACACAAATAAAAACTTAAGTGGTGATTTTCTAAAACAAGTCCTGGTTAAGGAGCTAAACTATATCCGCTAATGTTCATCAGACAATGCAGCAAATATCATGATAGCACTGTATAGAGGTTAAACAAAAAAAATCAATTTTCTGATCCTACATTATCTGTAACCACTCTGATGTCCAGCCGTGGATTTTCGGATGAAAGTGGGAAGCAGCTATGAAGTCTCGCAGGAGCAAATCCATTCACTAGAGTGTCACCTGTGTCTACCCAACACTGACTTCTCCTTCATCTTCTCTCTACCAGCTGGGATGGGACACACTACAGAGGTGGTATCCCCAAAATACACTATTGACCAAATGAATTAATGTCCTAAGTATCTTCTGTATCTCGACACAGCTTTCAGGTTTTCAATTGGTTCCATTTCAACCTGAGGATGATCACCTGTGCACATTCGGATGAGACAATGGAAAGGGTTTGATTCTCACCTGCTTGGTTAGTGGTCACAGTGACAGAAACTGACTGGTCGGGGCTAGGGTTGTACTTGGACACTCCGTTCACTGCCCAGATCTCAAAGGTGTAATTGGTGTGTGCCAGGAGATCAGTGATGGAGACTCGGGTAGTCTTGAGGCCATTCTGCTGGGGAGTATAGTGTACCCCACTTCCACAGGGCCGGCACTTGCTGGGGTCACCGGCTCCACATTTCTTGCAGACGACGTTGTAGGAAATGTCCTGCCGACCACCCGTGTTCTGAGGACTGCTCCACTCCAAGTTCACCGATGTCTCGTTGACATTGGAAATCAAGTTGAGGGGGGCAGATGGTGGGCCTGGAAAAGAAAAGCATATCATCACACTAAGAGCTGAGGTTGTGTTTGCTCTTTCTCAGAGTGTGTCGTTTCCTCTGCAGCTCTAGGGGAGGAAAATGGGCTCATTTGGCAAAGAAAGCCAAAGGCAAATAAATAAAGCAGGCAAATGATCTTCTAAAAGTACAATATAAGAGAGAAGGCTGTGTATGTCAGTGTCATTCCGATTCTGGTGCAAACAAACATGTCATCAACTGCCACACAGAGAAACGAAGCAAGTCTACAACAATGGGCGCCAAGCCCAGGCTTTTTCTTTTACTTGGCAGGGGAATGGCATAACTTATCTAGTCTCCATCTTATCTTCTGAAAAACGGGTATGCAAGTGGGATTCCAGTTCCCAGGGGCTGTTGCAAGAACTCTGGTAAATTAATAGTTTGAAATCTCTTCTAAAGACAAATTATGATTCCTAAGTATACCATGTCATCCATCACCAATTAAATGAACAGAACTGGATGGCTTTGCCTCCGCAGTCCAACACACACTTGAGGGTTAAGTCATTTATAGGCAATTAGTAGGAACTGGTTTAACATGGTTTCAGAGATGTTGAAGATATAGCTGCTGAGAGATTTTAGAGTGGGGCTGGAACTATTCCTGGCTACCAGACACTGTTTCCCACCCTTTGACTGATCAGGGCTACAGCACCAGGCTGATCACATGCATGCTCATTCCTACCGATAAAGAGTTTCTGACACAAGGATGGTGTTGGTGAACGAGGCAGAATAACTGGTCACTAACGACATCATGGTTTGGTTCAACACAATAATAAAAGACCCTGAGTGTGCCAAGAAGCCATCACTTAACTGATAGCAGTGGAAGATCCAAGCTAGGAGGAGAATAAAGAGTTTTCTTTCTTGAAATCAGTTTCAAAGGTTTTAAAGATGCCTGTCACCCTCTGATGAGAAATAATTTATTGAATGTCAGAGTTGGAAAGTTCTTGCTTTCCCATTTCTTGATCACTGTAGTTGTACTATATGGAATGAACATACATTTCAAGGGCATTCTACATGTTTTTCAGGGAAAGGAGGTGAACTTGATGCTTTTACCTTGTCAATCACAATGAACCATAGGGTCCAAAGTAGTCAGCGAGAGAGAACTGAAGCAGGTAACGAAGGAATAAAGAGTCATATTCAATATTTATCACCCAGCTTGAGTTGATAAATGGGACCAATGGATTTTGGTGGTGACATTTCACATGAGAAATCTTCTCCTCCCCTCTCCTCATACAGCTTAGCTGAAGATTTAATTTTAATGAGGTTGAGCAGGCTTTTCCATGCTTCTCTGGGGACTAATTACCTTCTCTTAGCATTAGATCTGGGGCCTGTGGCTATGTCGACCTGTAAGTCAAGAATCTGAAGATTGAGGTTCAAAGCCAGCCAGAGCAGGAAAGTTAGTGAATTTCTTGTCTCCTTACATCAAAAAGCTGAAAGTGGAGCTGTGGTACGACTGGTATAATGCTAACCTTGAACAAAGAGTTGGGAGATAACACCTAGGTCCTGAGTTCAAGTCCCAGTATACCTGCACAAAACAAAGGGGGAAAAACAAGAAAGAAAAGAAAGGAAGAGAGAAGGGAAAGGAAGGAAAGGGAAAGGGAGGGAAGGCAAGGGACAAAAGATTGGCTTCCTAATCCTCCAATCTTAAGAAAAAAATCTTTTAAGAAAAATTAACAGACCTATTATATAAAATGTGTTAAAAGTAAGCTTTCTTTGCAAAAGTTCTCAGGAAGTAGGTATCGATTTCATTCTTGTTTAGATTTCAAAATTGAATTTATGGCCTTTAGCATACCGACTGTAATATAATACAGATAAATAAATGATTTCTAAATAAATGAATGGAGTTGATTTAAAAATCTCAGACTCTAAGAGCCAGATAGGATATTAAAGATCATTTGGTCAAATATCCTCATTTTAAACATGAGGAAATATGAGACTGAGAAGTGGATCAGATAATAGCAAAAGTTCATGCAATCTAATTTGCAACAATATTTGACTAAAATTCAAAAGTATGCTATCCTCTTCTGGGATAATTTCCAGCCCAGCATGTGTTTCCCAGTAAAGGTATGCTGACAATATAATTACAAGTTTTGCCTAAAGCCTAAGAAGGAAAAAGACTGTGCCGAGCCCTCAAACCCGTTCAAATTCCTCAATGCTTGCTTGCTACTACAGTGAAATCCATCACCAGCCTGTGGCTGAAGCTGGCTAGGGTTTGGTTTATAAAGTGGGTCACCTAGTGGTTCTTATTTTGCTGTGACTTCCAGGGTTAAGAGTGACTCTGAAACCCATTAGCCTCTTTGCCAAGGATCCTGGTCCACTTTCACATGGGAAAATGTGACACAATGAATCAAGTACAGCAGAAGCAAAAAGTCAGTAATTAGTATGTAGGACGGGGCATGGTATGGACTAAACAGGGGGAGAAATGGAGCAGAAAACTAAATGGTCACAGGACTCAGAGACATAACATGTGACGTAGAAAACCAAACACAAAGATGCTGCAGGATTTGAAAATGGGAATGGGTGCTAATTTGAAAAATAAGAGCTAGAACAATGGAATGATTCTTAATGGAGGCCTTAGGGAAGGTACTCAAGAGACCCTAGAGAACAAGGCAAATTCAAGTTCAAGACTGCCTCCAAGAAGGCCTTGGAGAGAATTGCTCTGTATATGTTTTGTGTTCGGCTCTCAGGGAGCTTGAGGATGATAGAACACAGTAGCAGAAATTGGACTGTAGCAGAGTTACATAATAAAAGGGAAAATAGAATATCCAACCAGTGTAATGATAAAGTTGGCCTGAAAAGACACACGCCTTATACACTAGAGTCATAACGGTGGTGGTGTTGTGTCTGTGGGATTGTGGTTTCATTTTTATAACTCCTGCCAATTAAAAGGACGATAAACATGCAACAAGTGTGTTTCTCATTTACAGTGAGAAGTCATTGCTTCCTCAGGAAAGAACAGAATTTCTTCTGGAGATGATGAGAAAAAAATATATATAGACTCAGATACGACAAAAAGCTAATCTTGGGCCCACGGTTATAGCAAAGTCTCATTACACAATTTCTTGCAGTGATGGCTAAAAAAGAAAATAGGCATTCAGAGTAACATGAATCCTCATTCAATAAACCCGAGGCTTCTAGAAGGACAAGGCCGGACTCTCAGAACATTCTCCCTTCCGTTTATGTGAGGTTTGTATCTGGCTATTGAGAAGCAATTAAATTTCTGACACAGTGATTGCCTTTCTCATCAGAAATATGCCCACCTGCAAGTCAGTCTCCAATTACAAGTACAGTGAGGTCTTCTGTATCCCAGGGCTCCCCTTCCACAAATTTAACCAACCGATGGAAAATATTCAAGGAAAAAAAAAAGGGTCTGCACTAAGTGTGTATAAGCTTTATTTATTTATTTTTGGTCATTTTTCCCTAAACAGCACAGTATAACTATTTATATTGCACCAACATTGTGTTAGGTATTCTAAATAACTGAAAGATGATTGAAAGTATGTTGGAGGATGGGTATAGATTATACATAAATACTATGTCATTTTAGGTAAGGCATAGCAGCACCTCTGAGTTTTATAGCCTTGGCAGTCCCAGAATCAATCCTACATGAACACTAAGGGACTGATATGGACTTTGGGGTACAGATTCTTTTTCTTTGCTGACAAAAGTTGCAAGGTAGGAAAGTATTTAAAGCAGACAGGGCAAATTTATTCAAAAGCTAAAGGAAAGCAGGGAAATCAAAACAGTGAAACAGACTCTCCATGGAAAAGAGCATTTTGGAAGATGGTTTGTGTAGTACAGGGCTACTTCCAAGTCTCCTCTCCTGGGCTGTGCACTGATCGTTTGATGGTTTGGCTATATCTGCCCTCACTCTTCTCATTGGTTGAGCGGCAATCCCAAGTATTAGGGAAGAAGAATAAGAAGGGGAATGATGGGGTACATGATACCTGTCACGTGTTATTGGTTGCCATTTTTCTTCTTCCACTCGCCCCTCCCCCCTTTGCCAGTCATGGGGCTTGATTGCAGGGCCTGGGCACTGTCCCTGAGCTCAAGGCTCAAGGCTGGCACTGTACCACTTGAGCCACAGCACCACTTTCAGCTTTTTCTGTGTATGTGGCACTGAGGAATTGAACCCAGGGCTTCATGCATGCTAGGCAAGCACTCTTATCACTAAGCCATATTCCTAGCCTGCCATTTTATGAAGTTTCTCTTTCTCATAGTTTTTAAGTGACTCTGGGGTTGGGCGCTGTGGCTCACACCTGAGTAACAGTCCTTGCTACTCAGGAGGTTGAGACCTTAGGCTCCTGGTTTGAAGCAGTCTGGGTAGACCAATCTGAGGGACTCTTCAATTAAGCAGCAAAAATCCAGTAGTGGACACATGGCTCAAGTGGTAGAGGGTGAGCTTTGAGCAAAAACATCTCAAGCAGGAGCATGAGGCCATGACTAAGCTCCAGTGCAGGCACATGTGTCTATAATAAAGTTAAGTTAAGCATATATACAATAAAATAGCATTAAACTAAAACTTAAATACAGTGGTGATTACTCTTGTTGGGAAGGATTGTGGGGTCATTTTTTTGGGGGTCCGGTCATGTGGCCTGAACTCTGGGCCTGGGCGCTGTCCCTCAGCTCTTCAGCTCAAGGCTAGCGCTCTACCACTTGAGCCACCTTCCCAGCCCCAAGGGGGGGGGAGTCATTCCTTTATTCAACAATTATCCTACTAGATCTCTAGACTTGTCCCTTGCTGTATTGTATGTAGGAGAGAGAAATAATTACTCTGATTCATTCTGATGCTTTCCTGGAAACTTATAAGAAGGAGGAAAAAAATATAGGAGGAAAGGAAGAGACTAAAGAACACTAACTAAGCTGGGTGCCTGTGGCTCATGCCCATAATCCTAGCTACTCAGGAGGCTGAGATCTGAGGATCATGGTTCCAAGCCAGCCAGGCAGATAAGTCCGTAAGACTCGTCTCCAATA